TGTTAAAGCGTTTGAGCGGGCAGCCCATATGTTTTTTTGTCCACTTCAGGCTCTCGAACGGACGCCGAATCATTGACCAAATAAAGCATTCCAACCTTGCCAAGGCTTGAAGACACATATCGATAATCTCCATGCCAAGATTGCAGGAAATTTGAACATGAACTTTCTATTCTTTTTTGAATTTGGGAACACTAATATTAGGGTGTCCACAAAGTTCGTTGGCCATTTGTAAACAGCGTCGCGTTACGCAACGCGTTGTGATTTTGCATAAAGATTTCGCAATACTGAAAGTACTCGCGATGGGCTATCTTCTGAGCTAGCTAGCTCTAAATTTCCTTTCCTGATCTTTCCACAATAAAGCAGTGAAGATGAGTGATAGTCACCACCACCGCCGATGTTTGCTGGACTACTACAACCTGGGCATCTCCAGACGTCAGGCCACGACCAGGTGATAACACCCCTTCTAAGAACTGGATGTCAAAATGGTGGACTCGCTTCACCAATGGAAAACTATGGCATCGAAGATATGCCGAGGTTTCTGGTTCTCTCGCCACGGCGTCGTCCACTACAGCATCCTACCCAACAATGCCACAGTGACGGCAGAGACCCTCTCTAAAGAATTGCAGGAGGTCAAGGTGAAAGCTGCCGCCTTGTCCCAGAAACTTGCAAATCCGTGGTTGCTCTGGGACAACGCGCGCCCCCACAAAGCGAGAGATACTCAGGCCGTCCTGGACAGGCTGGGCATCGAGACGATCACGCATCCACCGTATAGCCCGGACATCAGTCCATGCGATTACCACATCTTCCGGTCCATGCGAAACTTCCTGGACGGAAAACAGCTGAAGAACGAGCGCGACCTCGAGGACGTGATCGAGGACTGGGGCGAGTCGCGGCCGGCCGGCTTTTGGGAGGATGGAGTTGCCTCTCTACCCGATCGTTGGCGAAAGGTAGTGGGTATGCATGGAGATTATATCATGGACCGGTAAGTTCAACTTGGTGAGATATCTTTACCAGCTCTGAAAAAACGAATGGCCAACGAACTTTGTGGACACCCTAATAGTTAGCTGCGCTTTTAGTGAAAACTCATTTCGAAAGCTACGAGACACCCACTCTACTCACCTGATTGGGTCCCGACAAAGTTCCATCTGTTTCGGTTATTGCAGCGCTTCCTTGGATGCTATAACGCTTTGATAACATGAATGAAATCACCGCGGATTTTTCGTTTCAAATGATGTCAAATTCGAGCTCTGAGATCTTGAAATTGCAGGAAAATTGGGAACAGGTCATCTCGGTTGGTGGGCGGTACTTTTCGTTCCTTTTGTCAGATATTATCCGAAAATTGTTCACAAGGCTGAAACTGTCCAAACTTCTTGGGCAGCCTACCCAATAATCCCAAAAATGATAACGAACTTCGCAGCAGCTTTTGATGGTTGCTTTCAGAGCTCACACAGTCGATGTGATAGGAGCATCAGCGATGGGAGGCGGAAAGGGATAACAGCTTCTGAGATCCGATAGGAGGCCTTAGAAAGGGTGGGTTCCAAATTCAAGCTTCATAGTACGTGTCACAGCAACAGTAGAAAGTTAGTTAGAAGCCAGCAGGTGATACAGTAGGTGGGACGGGGGCATTAGTGATGCGCGAGGAAGGAGATACGGAAGTATTACGAAAAGAAACTTAGTGGTGCAAACTTGGCCTTTTACCTGTCACTTGTCTATCCATAACAATGTGGGGACAACAAATACCTACCCAACCACTCAACGAGGAACGGGGGCGGGGATTATACGGCTCGAGACACGAAAAATTAACAATGGAATAGTTTTCGGAAGCTCTTCTGCTGTATTTGAATAAGGATGATTGGAGTTGGTCAGTCATCCCAGAAGAAGGGAGGATGCCAAAGGCTCACGGCAAAGATATCGCAAGCTGGACTTCTACGAAGATGGTAAGCCTAGTGGAATCCCATGTGATGCAGGCTTTGACTCCACGCAATGAAATGGACTTCTTCTTTCGCTGCCGCTCACTGCACTGCAATTCCGTTTTTTGTAGGTAACGAGACGGTGTATCTTACGCTACACATTCAGACTACCCATTGTTCCTTTCTCATGAAGTCACAATGATCGCTAGCAAATGGTGAAGCCTCCTTGAGGAGATCACGGATGAAAAGCAAGAAATAGAGAGATTCGATGTGTGTAACTGATGAGTGATTTAATTCAATTTAATTTTCTGGATTTCCGCTTAGAAGTGCTTCTTGACCATTTGGAACATTTTACACATTCCAACTGAAGTAAAAGAAGAGCGCCTGGCGAAGCCGGATCGTGTCACGAAAAAGTTTTTGCTGAGGACATTAACTGGTGCTCCTGTGGGACTTCACCTCCTGACTAGCTAACCCTGAGGCCGTTGTACGGGGTCTACGTTCAGGAAAGTAAGCTCATGGTGAGAGCAAGAGGCTTAGGGCGAATACCTCAAACCATGTAACTATTCGACACAGCGGGAAAAAAGAGATGACAAAAGCTGTGCTAGCCGGCTACACCATCCCTGAACTAGTGGGCCGGACTAAGTACCAATTGGTACCCATGCAGCCGAGTTAGCAGGAAGAGCCCGTTGGAGTGACCATCGTGGACAGGCTCCATGGACAGGCAATGTTGATGTTGCTAATACTTGCACCAGCACTAGTTACCATCGGCACTTACAGTTCCTTTAGAATCAAAATATCGCTGATAATATTAGTTCAAGACGGTGATTTGGGTAATGATTTGTTGAGAAACGGAAGCGATACTAGTCATGTATTTCCTTTGGACATTTGGGTGGGATCGGGAGACTTTCGCAGATGATTCCTCTGTTCCTGTTTTCTACGAAATATTTTCAGGATTAAGCCCAATTCGTTCGACCCTCACTGGCGTCTTCGGGGCGAACGTGGTCACCACTCATATACTTCATTAGATGAGTCAGCGCCTATGGGTCGAGGCGGGCAGTTGCTGACGCGTCATTGGGGATGGAAGGGCTAATTGAGGGTGGTCAAATGCCTTTTTTCAGCCCTTCCACCAATGACGTTGGCAGCAACCATCCGCCCCCAGCCATTTGTGTCCACTGCCTCCAAACTTTACAAAAAAGGACTGACTGACAAAAATGGTAAACGGCCGAGTGCAAGCTGGATTCCCATACCACAGAATCACGTTACTGTTAGTGATTGCTTCAAGTGAACTGGCGTAAAAGAAACCCACAAACGGACGGTTTGCGGTAAAGGAGGGTCTTCAGTGTTTGGCGACCGTTCTTCTATTAAAATTGGCCCCACCTGTTGTGTGATTGATGGAACTAAAACATCACAGCGAAATTTGGCTCAAGTGGATATCTCTAGTGCTTAGCTGGGTGGTGCTCTGAGGTATTTTTTGGTATGGAACCAATAAAACCTCTGAACTTCCGCGTCCCCATTCATTCACTGTGGAGCGCCCATCTGTCAGGAGCAATGTGTTCTCGATAAAGGGCCGAGGGTTGGAGGGTGGCAGGTGAGTGAAAGGTTTACCATGCTGATTGTGGTCAAGTGAATTCTAACTCTTAACTCAAGTTTCCTCAGTGGCTGTAAAAAAGTAACAATGCTTCATTTGTCGACTTTAAAGTGAAGGGAAGATTGGTGGCAAGACGTTGCTGCATGAAAGTCTGCCCCGGTCAAAGATCACTGTTTCTCTTGAACCTGTAAGCTCATGAATCTTTATCGCAGGTTCGAAGAATTTCTGGAAAAACCTCCATGCAGAAGTTCGAAGGTTCTTCAGAAGAATCTTGTCTACTCAAGCCAGATGCCACCAAGACTTGTCAGTGCACCAGATCTTGAAGACAGGTCGTACACCCCCTCCAATGACGGTCCAGGCTTTTGGATTCACACAGCTGCAGCGCGCGCCACTTTCTCCGCTCAAAAATGAAAGGGATTGGGCACTGTAGTAAAGTGACCTAAAAGCCGTCTCCTTATAGTCATATAGGGATAGGGATATCTGCCATAGGAATTGTGACAGGCGCGTGGCTCGGAGCGCAGCCAGAGCAGATTTCCTATCGATTGTAGCGGACTAAGGATGGCACCATTGTCGGAACAGAGCAGCCTTTTCAGCGCTCGTACGCGCTGCGCCACACGCCCCATCGTTTGCAAGAATCATGGACTGTAGTTTGCCCGCGGTTATCCTCGGCATAATTGAACCCAACCGCACAACACTGACGCAGTGAACACTCCCGCGCATACTCATGACTCGTCACTCTGGACTTACGTGCAGTATTTGTGTCCGCCAAACCAAAAGTAGTAATCCCAAGAAGCTTATTTGGCTGCGTTTATTGCCGCGGCCGGCCGTGAAGCACCGCAGACGAACTCTGATAGTTTCACTTCCCTCCAGGTCCGTTCTTCGGGCTGGCCACGTGTTGCACCTGCCCACAAAGTAACACTCTCTACTGCAGTGGACTCCTTCGTCTCGCGCATCATTAAGGACCTAGGAGTCCCGCGGCTCCAACTCCACCGCTGGAGCCGATTGCACGGTTTGCTCTTCAAACACCTACATATCAAGTGACTGAGCCTCTGATATCAAGCATCCGCAAGCCTATTAACCAATTACAGCCGGCTACTGAATTAATACTTTAACCGGTATGTTTCCAGAGCGAAAATCTGCTTGAAAGCCCTTATCTTAGCGGTCGCTGCTTCACTACTGTCCTACTCGCTCTTATCGTTAGAAATTTCCCTATTCGAAACCTTTGTCTCCTTCGCGAGCTGCCAAGGCCTGCTTGCGGAGCTGGCAGATAGCGTAAACTCATAACTCCATCGAAAGGAGATATGCGTGGCCAACCATGAAAATTGTACAGCGCTCTATTCATCACCGAAAACACCTGCAAGTGATTACGATTGTCACGCGACTGCACTCGAGCTGAAAGTTCTACGAATTGTATATCTTAGAGCATGGAAAATGTGGGTTTTCCCACCTTTTTATTCTTGGCCTTCAGGTCACCCTCTTCTTTCTTTATCTGTAATACGGTTTTATCTGCACTTTTTAGGATTTTCAAATACTTCTGGAAGGTGGCTGATAAAGACGCAAACACTTTGGCCGATGCGTTGCTCAAGCTGTTTGAAGGTTGCATCCTTTTCCGCCCTGAATTTCTTCACCTGCTCCTGGAAAAAGAAACATCGCTGAAAGTCATGGTAAACAGAGGAAGCTTAACGCACCGTGCGATTATACTTTTTTGCCCAAGCAGCGATTTTCTCCTGTTCCTGAGCGAGTGTGAGATTTCTGCCAAGAATGATGTCATCGTACTCAACTCGGCCTTCGAGGGTAATACCCTTCAAGAATGGCAGATTATAGTCTCTTTGATAAAAAGTGTATCGGGAGCTTTTGCTTTCGCTAGCAGCTACGGAAGCTGCGACGGCTGCGAGCAAGATGACAGCTGTTTTTCATTCTGCAAAATAGTGAGTTTGGTTGAGAATTTTTTTCTTACGCGAGGTGGTGAGGCATAATTGGGAACGGGGTGTGCGGGAAGTAAGGGGGGGGGGGCGTTGTTTGGAAGGAGGTACTGAAGAGCAAAGTGATGTTATATACAGTACGCCTATGGGCTTTTGTAGAGCTTTTCAGTGTTTTTCTGGAATATTCAAGTGTGTGTTTATACACATGATAATCGTCTTTGCTAGCAGTACTGAATTAAATTCGAATACTGATTACTTTGTTCCACGTCTCGAAAAATTCTAAACAGTTTCTCACGCCTATAAAGTTGTTCCTTTCGATAACCAAAGGGCTCTGTCAAAGACTTTGGGCTCTTAGTATTTTCATTACATATTCGATCATCTCATTTGAACGTAGGGACTTTATCCAATTTCAATTGAAAGGCGATGATGGATAAAAAGTAATTGTATTGCTTTAAGGTTGAGTAGACACCTCTTTCCATGAATCTAATACTTGCGCTTCTCGTTTGCTTACGCACTACTTCCAGCCACCGTTTTTGTCTTGGAAAAGTGCCGATAACGATGCCTATTGATGGCCACGTTTCCCACGAATTCGATAAGTACTCTCATAGCGTTTCCATTGGACTGTGCCTTCTGTGCTGATTAAACACATTCTTGAATCGCAGGGCTGTAGGTCGACGCGAAGGAATGGGGTTGAACCCAGTCCCTGCATCGTTGTGTTTCGTAATAGTAGCAATAATACGCAAAAACGAAAATCATGTCGGAACCTAGCACTGTGGCGAGCAATGGTGCGCCTTCTTGTAGCTTGCGGGCGAGTCCATTTATATGTGCGCTGATCGAGGAAGCACGGAATAATGACCCAGTGGCGCTGTTTTCTTCTCTGCATTGAGACCTCTCTGGAAGGCACAGTGGAGGGAATCTATAGCCATATGATTAGCTTCCTATAGAGCAACGAAGCAGCCCATGTTCCACCATGAGGGGTTTGTCCACGTAACCCATCATGCCAGAACACAGGCTGCTTCTCATCTGCATTCGTACAAAATTGATGCTTGTGAGTTTTAGTGGAGTACAAAACCACCCATGTTACGTCCAGAGCTACGGTGCGTTTTCACAATCGCAAATGACGTCTAGGCCGATGAACATCGGTGCTACAGGCATAAAGAATAAATCGTCTGCGTTCGTTGCGCCACCACAAGGAGAGATGTACTTCAAATCACACACCTCTTGCGGATCCTCAATTTTTTGCACGTAACTCTGACAACGGTTGCAGCAGGAGTGTCAGCCTTGTGGACATTATGAGGCCCTCCCCGGCCATAACTTCATTTCGTTTTTCCTACTGTGGACTTTTGAACCAAATCTTCGACACGCCGTTTTGAAAACACCATTCTACGCAGGCTATCAGTCTAGCCTAGGATAAATTTTAGCAGCGCCCTTAATTGTTATGAGCAGTCGCCATAATCTGCCGCGTCGCTTTTGACCAGTCGGGTTTCTTTCCAATTTCTCAAGATTTTCATTCGGTGGCTAGCTTGGCTAAATTTCACCGGTAGTTCAAGGTACCAGCTTTCAAAGATGTATTAGCGCAGCTCTAGCTCCCTTGCTTCCCTGTCATTCCTCCATAGTTTTCCACATTTTCTCGCCCGTCGATCAACCGTTTTTGGGATACGGTACGCATTTACATGCATTCAGAGAATTTGGGCATCAAATGAATGCATGAGATGACCCAATATTCGATAGCTGTTACTGGATAATTGTCACAGCGGATGGTACAGCAATCAGCAAATGGAAGTATTCAAGTAGTACAGCTCGCGCCCTAGCAACACCATAGGGGTGGTCCCCTATTCTGTTGCTTCTTCAGATACCTGAGTGGCACTGAACTACTCAATCCTTTTATCACCTAGTCCTTCAAGCACTTCTCTCCTATGGTGTTTCCGACGTCCCTACTAGCCCGGTAACGATAAGGATCCAAGCATTATTAGCATCAGCTGAACGTGCCGGCGTGGCCTCATCTTGCGTGTACTGGTATCTGCATCGAGAACACGCTCTTCTCTGGTGGAACTGCCACTCACTGCACTTTCATTGACGCTTTCAAAATCAACGCTTTTGCTTGCTGAGCGAAATATTTTGGAACCTCACACATGTTGAGACCACTGCCGCCTGACGGCCTATACAGCTACTAGAATCATTGCTTGATCGCCTAACACATGGCCAAGAATGGCTGAGATTGTTTGAGCGAAAACTAGTGATGTAACAGAACGGTTTGGACGATGGCGCTTTATCCTCCAAGGTCACTTGTTTTGTTGAATGGTAAGCACTTAACAACGGAGATTATGGAGAAGGATTGGAGAACTGTGATTTGGTTCTGTGCACGTCACTGAAACAGTGATTCACCGCGTCTAGACCAGAATCGATGGGATTCGGGTGAGCTCTGATCGAGTCGACTTCAGAGAGACTTTTTTGCGAAAAAAATGTAAGACTCGAGTCGAGGAACCGTGCATTGATACTTTTTGCGTATTACACATCGGCTGGCCCACGGGCCCTCATGAGTGGCAGCTCCCACGCCTCCCTAGTTGTCCCACCCACTAGGACTCCAAGACTATTTGCTTTTTTCTCACGAATTTCAGCTTTTGTACAGTGCTTCTGCTTTTTTTTGAGAGTTACGGTCGTATTCAGCGAAAAAAAAACGGTGAGCCACAACAGAGGCAGAGTTTCCGCGCTGCCGGCCGTGACACGAGGCAAGTCGGATAACTTCGTCCAGTGAAAACTTGCAATAGATCCTTAGAGTGCTCTCCATATTTTTTTTTGCTTTTTTCTTCCCTAGTGGGTCAATCAGCGGCTATATGCTCGGGACTGAGCGTCTCTATTCACAAGAAGCAAGTGTAACTGATGCATGTCAACATATCGGACGGACGGCACCTGCTGAATTTCGATGTCGTCGGATCTGGCGTGGGGTGTCTTAAGAGGCATTGGAATAAACTCTCCGTGGCAGCTTTCTACATTGGTTATTTTATGCCTAGGTCGCCCACCACCGCTGGAAAGCGCAACCGCGGACGGGTTCATTTTACGCCCTCACACACCTCCTCGTTGGAATACGGAGAACTTTGGAAATCTCGCTTCTTCCATTTGAGTTGCTCATCGCATTGATTTTCCAACCATGCTTATAACCAATGAATCAGCAGTGTTCGTTGCGTTGAGCGAAAAAGGGGCATGAGAAAACAAAAAAGTGATGTAGTTGCTAGCCATCCTTCTCCGCTCCTATGTCATCCCATTCCGATGGACTGATGACGTACTCGCGAAAGGTGTTGAAGAATTTGGTCAATTCTAGAGACCAGTCAGCTCACAGAAAACTGTGTACCACAAATGCAAAACCTTTATTTTACCATTCAAGTGAAGAAAACAACCCCAGTAGATAGAAAATATTGAAAACGTTTCAAAATTCACCGTGAGATAGGAGCTGGATCACTTCACGTAATCCATGGTCTCCACATCGTAACCGTCACCCATTTCACCCATATCTGGAAGCATTCACTTATTAGATCATTCTCATTCTGAGTTATAACTCACTAAGTGCTTGAAGGTTCACCTGGTACACTCTAGTTCTCTGCGGACGGTTGGGCGTGTCAGCCAGTATGAGTGTGTCACCCTATCAGAGCCGTTCTCTGCCTTCTTGTTGAAGAGCGCATGCGACAAAAAGTGGTAGAAAACGAGTAATACGAAGATATGATACAGTATTGTCACTTGCCCGCTTCAACAACTGGTGTAGAACGAGTTTGGCACCGCGCCAAACGCAGCCGCACTGACACGCCCAACCGTCCGCAGCGAACTACAGTATACACTACTGGTCCACCTTTATTGTCGTAATAGTTCCATCCTCGTCCTCCCCACGGCCTGTACTGATTCATCCCGTAAGGATCATCGTAAATCCATCTCGCACCTCCCAATGGCCCGTTCTGATTCATCCCTAAAGTATATCTGCAACATTCAGGAAAATACTGCAGGAAGTATAGTGAACAACGTCGCCATCAGTCGGGGTGATTTTAGGAAGGGCGAAGTGAGCCTGCCTCTGCCCTTTTTGCCCAACTAAAGGTGGCGGAGGTGATGCAGTGGCAAGTGACGCTTACACGCGCACGTTCCGGAAGTGGAGTCTCGGATCGACTCCTTCCGAGGCCACCAAACTTTCTACCCTCCGGGGACGGTAAATTGGTACCAGATTCGTCTGGGAGGATAAGAACACTGACTTGTACATCGGCTGGACCCCGCAAGGTCATAGTATAGGCTACGCTGCATGCAATAAGCCGTAGACCGAGTGCCGCATCCCAAAAAAGAGACTGATTAGCGGTCGAGACTTTATCCCTTTTCTACGCCAAATGGTGGTAGGTTAGTGATCGAATCAAGAAGAAAAGAAGCAGTGGTGGAAATGCCGCCGAATTCCATCCCCCTCCCTTCCCAAAATCGCTCCGCTGACTGCGATCTTATCAACTTTTGAGCGCTTTACTCCAAAGAGATTATCGACAGGGAAGTGATCCCGACCTTGATAACGTCCGTAATCGCCGTAGCCTCTGAATGGACCGAATCCACCAAATTGCCATGATTCATCCCATCTTCCTGGACGTGGACCACGGGGCCATTTAGGTTTGCCAGGACCACCACATCCACAAGGCACGACCAGCTTCTTGATATACTCAATAGTGCTGAACTCCTGAATGAGAGGATGCATTTGCGTAAAAACCTTCCTATGAAGCCGAACGAGAGAAATCGAACCAACCTGTGGATACTGAGCGCTGAGGTTGGCTAAGGCTTCGTCCTTTTGAATTAAAGTCAGGGCGTCATTATCCTTTATTGAGTTCCTCATACCAAGCACTGTTGGTAGTTTGCCAATCAGATCGCTTATATTCTTCCTGGCTTCGTTTAACCTGTTTGTCTCATTTGTGGTGAACTCGTTGAGCAGGCTCTGAAAAATGCGGTTTTAGCCTATCGGATATGTTCGCCGTGGTTTTCAAGATATACTAGGCTTGTTCTGTGACTTAGAGGGCGGAGGGGGGGGGGAAGGCTTTTCAGCTTGGTGCCACTTTGATAAAATCTGCAAACTGTTGTCAGGTGTGTTTCAAGGTCGTGTTATCGCACAGCTTCACAAGAGTTTACAGGTCTCCACAAATGCACCGGTGTGATCGTGGGAACGAGTAAATTGCCCACACGAGCCATCTGCGCCTTTTACTCTCGCTGTTCGTTGGTGTTGGAATCGCATTCCCACCGCTGTCTCCTCAGGGAGGATTGGTGTGGTAGGGGAACCGTGCCATGACATTAAGCGTGGTGAACAGATACCAATTCATAGATTTTCCTCAACTGGCGAAAGTGAGCTGAACAATGCTCTGCGAATCGCTAGTTCCTTTTCGAGCTCGTTGAAGTTTGCTTCCAGCCTTGGTTGGTCGCGGCTCTCCATTCCATTATAGCGGAGCCTCATGGACGATGATTGGGCGATTTTCCCGCAGAAAACACTTACAAGGGAGGTCGTTCAGGCCGTGGTGAGCTTTTTCAAAACGGTTTGTTGCATGTTGTAGGGGTCCATGCGAGGACCATAGCGATGGGGTTCATTTTTGCTAAACGGTACTGGGAATGTCAAAAAAAGGTCAAAAACAATTCGAAAAGAATGGGCTTTTTAAACCACCTTATTCGCCTCTGTTCTAGCTGTAGCGTTGACAGGGTATAGTATGTAGGGTATCCTTTGAGCAGGCATGAAAAACAGCGCAAAATAAGGTCAAAATCCAAATGGTCTACTTGGCATGCGGTGAGCTGCATTGGAGTTTTCCGGTCATCTGCGCATATCTCTTCAACAGGTCCTGTATCTCTAGTGTCGCAGTGGCAGATGGTGTGGTGGATAGTGCGACGGGCTCTCGGTCGGTGGGTTTATGGATCGGATCCCCTTGCCGACACAATTTTTGCATTTTTCACATTTCTTGCTTCTTGTATTCCTGTATGCCCCATAATGTGTATGACCCGGATATACGCCATTTGAAGGCACATTCCATGCGGGAACGGTTCACAAATAGGCCTCACTCAATTATTACGCTCGCGAAATACTATCGAAAAAACTCTTCATGAAACTTGGGTTACGGCGGTTATCCGATGCTCTGTTCATGAACACGACACTCATTTTTTGAATATGGCGCAATGTGTCGCTAATTTGGTGCAAAGGCTTTCTCGTACTACCATCATTGTCAGTCTGCGCGGCGGGGCTATTTAGCGCCATACTGGCCCCAGATGGCCTCCGCAGCAAAAATAAGTATCTGAACCGTGATCAGGACCATC